TCCTCCTCTCCTATAGAGTCCAATGTCGGGCATTTCAAGATTTATGTAAGTTTTAATATATATAACATGAGGCGTAAGCCTCATGCCAGTGAGGCGAGGCGGGCCTCAACCAAGTTGAGGTGCAAGCCTCATAAGAAAACTTGAGGCGTAAGCATCAAGGCGTTTTTTACTGGAATTGCGCAAAGGCGAGCCTCATATTGTGCAATTTTAAACCATAATAAACACTGCTAACCTAAACTATAACTTCATTATGAACTCCTAAATTTTATTCTTATAAGTTGCCACAATAATAACATTTCATTTGTTCTTAAAGACTAGTACTAAAATACTTTCTTCAAACAATAGCCATTGTCTTCCTATTAAGAACATTACTGAATGTTCTAACTAAAATACTCCAATATCTCTTATACCAATTTAAATATGCAAGCATCTCATCGGGACCTAAAGCTTATGTATTTCATTATCATTCTTTATTTTCTTATATTAAAATAAAATGACGTTATTATCAATCTTAATAGAACTAGCTTAATCACTGTCTCTAGATCTCATTTCTCTTGCACCACTTTGCCTATTGTACAAGTTATCAGGAATGTAACTTCAGATTTGCTAACCACATTGAAAAACTTCTAGCTTCTTAATAATCTCAACAATGTTTTATTTTTATGAATCTTTTGGAAGTTTGACATAAAATCTAGAGTGTATATAAGTGTGACAAGAAGACTGATAGGAAACACTTGTAGATCTCAAGTATTTCCTATCAATCATCGAAAAACCACGAGAATTCTCCACAAAAAACTGTACAAAATCACAAAAAAGTAGATAATTTGTATTTTTTTATGAAAGGGAAATGGAAAATCGCAAAATACAATTGATCCTCTATTCGAGAGGAGGATCGATCTCTCCCAAATCTCTAGACGCAGCTAGAGCCCAAAGAAAAACCTATATCTAAGAGATCTCAAATTTCAGCCAAATTCAAGATGCCCTAACCCTAGGAAAACAAATTATTTAATGCATAAAAATCAAAAGGAAATCCCAAAAGAGGCCCTAAATTCAAATTTCCCGCCCAAAACTCTACAAAATCCTTCCTAAAATGTTCGTTTGGCTCGTGCGGGCCGATCGGCTACCGAAAGAGGCGAAGATCTTCTGCCTCACTGTTGCTGGGCCGATCTCGTGTGGACCGGCTGGACCGCTCCAATTGATCGGTTTAACAATACTCTCCTCCCAAAGATCCACCTTATCCTCAAGGTGGAAAGACGACACCCTCATTTCCTTCTTCATCACAAACGGTAAGAACCTGAAGAGTTTGGTCCTTACACCTGGGCCCCGGCGAATAACACTCGTCACATCTGAAACAGAGCCCTTTCATCCTCTTCTCCTATAGTTTTGTCTCTGTAAGCTTCTTGAAGTTGTCTTGAGGTATTTGTCCTGTAGTCTTTTCCTTCGAAATTCGTCGAAGAGTATCCAGTGTTGGCTCATTGGATTTCATTAACGTGGTGGTCATCTTGTATGAGCCTCCTGAGCTACTGCCTCCTGTCTCTCCCTCCAAGAGACTATGATATTCTACCAATTGAGCTAGTTCCATATCCTCTCTCAAGTCACGAGGCCCCATTACTCTAACCATAACTCGGATCTCAGGTGTCAATCCCTTCATAAAGTTTTTCTCTAGAACTATCTCAAAAAGGCGGTCCAATCGGCTAGCAAGGTACTTGAACCTCTCCCAGTTCTCCGTCACTGAGCTCTGTTATGTAAAGGCGAAGAATTGCTCATAGAAGTCTCCTCCCATGCCAGTTCGAAAACGTTCTACCAAACAATCCTTGAACTCTCTCCAACTCTGTATGGGTCTTCACATGTCCCTCCACTAATACCAAGGCTGTAAAACCCGAAATAGTTGATCGTAAGCATTGCACACATCTCGATGCGTCACAACAAAATTTAAGTGAATTTTTCAAAGTCGTCGGATTTCGACGAAAATAATTTTATAAAATTGTACATGAAATTTTGAGCAAATCAGTATAAAGGACCTATATGGAATTTTGCATAGATTTGGAAATAAAAATCAAATAAGTTTCAATTTTTTTCTAAATGACTTAATAGCCCTCAAGAATCTTAAAGAAAAATAAATGCATAAGAATGCAAAGTGGTCCTTTGGCAATCTCTAAACCACCGAATGCCTTAAGTGATCGAATAGTTTCAGTCCTTTCATTTCTCCTGCACAGTTCCATTTAGCCGAACATAAGAAGAGGCGCGGGCGGGACAGCGCGACGAGAGGCTTCGTGGGCGAATCCGGCGGCGGTTTACAGAGGCTTTCTTTGAGGGAAAGTGTAGAGAAGACTAATTAAGAGGAGGTTAAGGTAAGTTGTAATTAAGAGATTTCTCAAATTTTTGGTAAAGTTTTCTTTAAGTAATTTCATGAAAACTTTCCTAGGATGATAGGATTTTATGGTTGTTTTTGTGTCTAGTGTTAGTCTATGTGAAAGTTATGTATTTAGGGACTTTATGAGGTATTGTTCTGTTTTTAAATGGTTATTTATGATGTTGTTGAAACTTTCAAGTTTGATGTTTAGTCAATCTTTTTATAATTGAAGTTGGATGAACATTTTGTATATGTTTGTTTATGAACGAAATTTTATGTGTTACCATACGACTTTCTATTGCTGCCTAGTTAATTCGGGCTAGCCGGGCCAGGTCGTGACAAAGACAAAGTCTTCACGCCTAAACATACGCCCTCCGCCGTCAGTCTCTCCTCATCTATGAGCTCATTGACAGCAAAATATATTTATACCGTGTAGATCCACCCTGCGCATCCTTCCCCTCAAGATTTGGCATCTTTAGTTTCCTCTTCCTCGGGTCACACCGGTTTCCCTTAAATCCTCCATAACCTCTCATTCTTTGAAGAGGAGGTGCTCCCTAATTGTCACGATCTTCCCTCTGACGATCATACCCAAACCATTCATCAAAATCCCCTCTTCTTCTTTCAAAATTAACACCCTAGTGATCGAAATCATCCCCTCTCCTTACAAATTCAGCACCCCTTCTTGCATAGCCAATACTCATCTCATCCCTAGAAAGTAGTTCTAGAGAAGGCATTCCGTCTTCTCCCTCCAAGATCTCAACTTCTGGCTTTCCCCTTCCCCTAGACGTGTTAAGGTTCCCATCTCTTCCATGGCAGCCAGTAGTTTCCTTTGCTTCCAATGTCACCAGCTTGGTTTTGACTTCAAGCAATTTCTTCAACATATCTTCCACCATGGCAAACTTTTCCTCCATGTTTTCATTGACGGATGCAATCTGACTTTGAAAATGAGTCATCTTTTCCTCAAAATCTGCTTTAGTTGCTCAAGTTCTCCCTCCAAAACTTTCACTTTCCTTCCGGCCATTGGTTCCCCTTCAATCAATGTGCTATGATACCAATTTGATAGAAAACACTTGCAGATCTCAAGTATTTCCTATCAATCTTCGAAAAATAGCGAGAATTCTCCACAAAAATCTGCACAAAATCACAAAAATAGTAGATAATTTGTATTTTTTATGAAAGAGAAATGGAAAATCGCAAGTAAATTGATCCTCTAATCTAGAGGAGGATAGATCTCTCCAACATCTCTTGACAGCTAGCACCAAAAGAAAAACCTAAATCTAAGAGATCTCAAATTTCAGCCAAATTCAAGATGCAAAACAGTCCTTACATTCAAATTTCCATCCCAAAGACCTAAAAAATCCTTACCTAAAATGCTCGTTTAGCTCGTGCGGACCGATCAGATACCGAAAGAGGCAGAAATCTTCCGCCTCGGTATCGCTGAGCCGGTCCCACGTGGACCGGCTGGACCAGTCCAATGGACCGGTCTAACAAAGGCCTATCCTCATGTGACATATATTTTAAAAAAGAGTGTTACTTGTGTAGACATTTAATAAGCATGTAAGGATGACAAAGACTTTTTCAGACCTTAACCAACAAAGCCAATCTTTCAGATCCTTCCTAACAAATTCTTGAGAGTGATCAATGTTTGGCGCAGCATGAAAATTGTCTCCACTGCTCTTATTTCCTCTTCCCTGGAAAAGGAAGAAATTTCGAAATGAATAAGTGAACAATAGCAACTAAGACAAATGGATCGCTGAAGCTTCAAATTTGATAATTAACAAGCATATTAATTCAATAGATCAAGAAAACAAACATGATATTTTCAATGAATAACTTAGTCCAAGGTCAGCACCTCAAAATCCAAAGACAAACATAGCCAGGACAGAGGATATATTGTACACGAAAAAGACTGTATAATTGTATGAATTTAATGTGAAAAGGGTGGCAGCGACAACATATGGTACCAAAAACATGGAATCTGATTACTTAAGTAACAATATTTTTAGAGCCATCTGAAGAAAGAATTTCTCATTTAAGGTGCATGTTAAGTTGTTACTATACTTTTTTGTTCCATTGAGGGTTACATGAGACATCAACTCATTACAAGCAGGTCTTCTTGCACAACTTCTAAACATGTTGCTTTTAGCCTACTTTATATCTTCCTAATCCCACAAAATTTGACCATCCACCCACCTTATTGGTACATTTATTGCCCTCTACTATATATACTCAAGACACTTGGCTCAATTTCCTACATACAACATCAACCAATAAATTATTATAGCCCCACTACCCAAGCGAGATCGCAAGTCCAAGATGAGAAGAAGGGGCATGATGGCACAATCACAAGATCAAGATCAAGGGCCAATAGAAATTTATCCAACATAATTATTTGATTGAGTTCATATTTTGATAGATTTGAAATTATATGCATGATTAAAATTTAAAAAAAAAACATTTTCAAATTTAATTTTTTATGTTTTGCCAACAGTGACTATGCGTGGAAATATTTTTATATGTTGAAATTATAGATATACATTGAGTATGTGTGCCAACATTGAGTATGTGTGCAACGACTTTTATATGTTGAAATTGTTGATGTTACTATGCTTATATGTTGATAATATTGATGTTATTAACTACATATTGAAAACATCAATATCTATGTACTACCGATTTATGTTGACAATGTTGTTTTTTTTCATGTTTATGTACTTAAAATGTGTGAAGAAGGGCGGCAATGATGAGGAATATGGTGAATGTAAAAAATGTGATGGATGTTAATTTGCAATACATCTCAAAATCAATTTGGATTCATGTCGGGTAGGTCTATTATAGAAGCCATATATTTATTGAGAGGTTTGATGGAAAAATATAGAGAGAATAAGGAGGATCTACATATGATATTTATTGATTTAGAAAAAAATATTTGATAAAGTTTCAAGAGAAGTGCTATGGAGAGTTCTTGAAATGAAAAGAGTTAATAGCACTTATATTCAAATCATTAAACATATGTATGCAGTTGATATTAGTTGTGTTCAAACATAAGGTGGTTTGACCTAGTATTTTCCTATTTCGATTGGATTACATCAAGGATCAACCTTAAGCCCATATATTTTTGCTTTAGTCATGGATGTTCTCACAAGACATTTGCAAGAAGATGTACCTTGGTGTATGCGTTTTGCTGATGATATTCTTCTTGTTGATAAGATAAGAGAGGGAGTTAAAGGCAAACTAGAATTATAAAGGTCAACCTTAAAGTCTAAAGATTTTTGTTTGAGTAGATCTAAAACTGAATATATGGAGTATAATTTTAGTAGTAATAGACATAGTGAGGAAATTGTGACTTTGGGCAATCAAGTCATTAATAAGAGGTCACGTTTTAGATATCTTGGATCTATTGTTCAGAGTGATGGTGAAATAGATTGAGATATTATCAGCAGAATTCAAGTTAGATAGTTGAAGTGGAGGAATGCATTGGGCTTGTTGTGTGATAGAAAAGTTCCCCTCAAACTTAAGGGAAAATTCTATAAGATGGTGGTGAGACTTGCAATGCTTTATGGTGCCAAATGTTGGTCATTAAAAGAGAAATATAATATTAAGTTAAGCGTTGCAGAGATGAGGATGCTCAGGTGGATGAGTGGCTTTCCCCTTAAAGATAGGATATGAAATGAGCATTTACGTGAAAAGGTTGGAGTAGCTGCCATGGAATATAAGATTAGAGAGATCCTCCTTAGATGGTTTGGTCACATAAAATGGCAGCGTTCCGATGACCCGGTTAGGAAAATAGCGGTATTATATTTGACTTATGTTAAGAAAGGTAGAGGTAGACTTAAAAAGACTTAGAAAATATTAGAAATAATCTTTCTTTATTAGATTTAAACGACAATTTGACTTTTAACATGACGCAATGGAGAAAAAGGATTCATGTAGCCAACCCCACGTAGTTGGACAAAGGCTTGAAGTTGTTGTTGTTGGATGTTTATTTGCAATACAAGCAAGGACCCTTATGTTAATGTATATGTATATCGTAATGTATTCCTCTATTTGCCTTAAACAAATATGAGATGATCAAGTAGAGATATAAGTGAAATGGAGAAATAAAAAAATTGAGATGTATGTAATTTCTCTATCTTGGACAAATGTGAGATGACTATGTGGATGTATAAGTGAATGTGGGTATAATGAGCCATTCGAAAATGAGAATATTATGATGTGCTACTTCATAATATGTGTGTGCAATTTAGTTTATGTTTTGATATCATGTTTGATAAAATGTGTATATTTTATAACCATGTCCATGTGATGCAGAGAAATGTTATCCCTATTTTGAAGTCTTATTCAGGTGATGCTTACATTGCTATTATTTTGTGTGTATATCTATAATATCTATTTCATACTGAGATAAAATTGTTAAATACATTGTGCACTGCAAATGTTAGGATAGTCCCCTTTTAAATATGATCTATTGTTCATGTATTGTAGGCTTAAATAAAAACTTTCTTATAGAATTGCGTTGAATTCTATTGTAATAGGTTTTGGATGAACTCTTGAGCAAGTGGTTTGTTCACCATATATATACGTAATGCTTTTAGGTCTCCTTTGGATAGATTAAATTGATAGAGGCTATTGATCATATTGGATTTCAAGACTATATGCGATAGAGGCTATTGATCATATTGGATTTCAAGACTATATGCATTCAGTATATTTGTATTCTTTTGTTAGTCATGAATATGTTTATATTTGGATGAAATGAAAGTGAAATCATGTTTGACATATAATATTTTTTGAATTTTTTTAATGAATTTATATATTTGTCTCTGTGCATATTGAATCTTTATAGATGGCTATGTATTATACAACAACAACAACATCAAGCTTTTATCCCACTATGTGGGATCAGCTACAAGAATTCTTTTTCTTCATTGTGTCCGGTTAAAAGTCAAATTCTCATTTAGATCTAATAAAGAAAGATCATTTCTAATATATTCTTGTAAAACCTGAAAATGCCTATCGTAAGCGTCGCACGCATTTCGATGCACGCCGACGAAATTAAATGAATTTTCAAAGTTGTCGGAATTACACGATTAATTTTATAAAATTCTACGTGAAATTTCAAGCGATTTGGTATAATGAACTTATACCTAATTTTGCACGGTTTTGAAATTAAGAATCGACGAAGGTTATTCAAAAAAAAACATAACCTAAAAGACTCAATAGCCCTCTTAACTCTTAAGAGGAATTATGAAGGTGAGGGCATATGCGTCAATTTCCATTTCCCTCTTCCCCCACCACCCAAATAGGCTTAAAGGGGCCGAAATTTTCGGTCCCTTCATTTCTTTTGTTCAGCCAAATGCAAGAGGGCGACCGGCAAGGGTAGAAGCGGCGGGAGCAAGGCGGCGGCGGCGATTTCTGACAGAGATTCTTAGGAGAAATCGAAAAGGAAAGTTAAGGGAAGTCTAAGGTATGTTCTTAATCAAGAAATTTCTTAATTTTCCATAGATTTCTTGAGTTAAAAATATAGGGTTTTCCTAAAACTTAAATTTTTTAGAAGAAGAATGTTTAGGGAAGGTTTAATGATGATTTCTAACCCTAAAAATTTAAAGTTCTCCCAAAGTTTTTGAGTTTTCCAAATTAGGGCTTTTTCCAAAATGTAATTTTTTTGAGAATTGATGCTATCAAATATTTCTGTAATTTTATTTTGATTTGAACAATAGTATATTTTATGTTCTTTTTTTTTTAGCTATCTAATGATGGGAAAGCATCCAATGAACATGGTAGGTTGTGCATAGGGCTTGGTAGACCTTTGGTTTGCTGGCTCGATTGATCCTTTGGCTGCTGCTAGTTCACGGGTTAGTTGTTTGGAGCCTTTGGTGATAAATGGAGAAAGTTGGGGTTGAGCTCATTCCCTTAATTGTTTGAGCTGAAGTTTAGTAACTCATTAATGTTCAAAAGGTGGCTCATTATGAAGGATTCAATTTTGGGGTGGACTTGTCCCTTCTACTTCCCCTTTCTTCTTGTCTCTTGGGAACCCGTGGCTTGTTTCAAATGATGGCTGAATTATGTGCCTTGAATTCATGTGGGGTTGCTGTATCCGAGCATTGTCTCCTTGGTTCCTTCATCGGCTGCTGGTTTTCCGAGCCTGGGGAAGTTTCCCGTGGCTTTGGGGCCTTGGTTCCATCCTCCTTGGTTCCTATGGTTGCTACTTCGGTTTCTTAAGCTCTGCTGTTTTTCTGTGAAAAGCAAATGGGAAATTCCATAAACTTGGTGCTTGGGTTCTTGTGGAAAATTAATGTATGTGACTAATGGTATTCTCCTATCTTGCCTATAAATATGAGAAGTTGTTGTGAAGGAAGGGAGTTGACTATTTAAGCATATTTGCTATTGACCTGCGGGTTATTGGAAAAGCTTGCGAGCTTGTTTCATTCTTCTTTCTCATCCCCTCCGGAAATCTTGCGAGCTCTTTCCAACCTTTCTTCTTGGCTTCTAACCTCTTTCGTCTCTCCGTAAGTTCCACTCTATCTGTATCTCTCTTCTTGAGCTTTGGTGGTGATTGTTGGTTGACTTGGAAGCATTTTTTGGGAGAATTGGACAGTGGTGGACCATCAGTTTGCTAGTCCTATGCACCTATCTTATTTAACCTACAATTCAATGCATGTGAGGAACCCGCTCTGACGGTTGTCTGAGG